TTGGCGGGGGGGGGGCGGGTGCCAGTTTGCTGCCCCTAAGGGCTGGCGCGCTCTAGGCGAGCACCTACTGCACCTAGTGAGTGAACCGGCCCTGTGCCCTATGCACTGTTCTTTTTTCTCTAGTTTATTTTTGTGTATGCATTCTGTATCTACAACCAAAACCCACATTTTTTGCTTAATTGTGGTTAACATCACTTGTGACCAGTGGCAGGGGGGTCCAATTGCCACCAACTTGGCCAAGTGTGTAAACAAGGGATGGGGCACACGGCACCCTCCCCTTTCTCTACTCTCCTCCCCACTCTCCCACCCCCTTTGGCTAGCTGCTGCTGGGCATGCACGACCCATAGAGGGACGCAAGCTCAGTGGCTGGCTTGCTGGTCTGTTGGGAGGGGTGGCTTCTCAAGGTTTTTACATTTAAAAAAATGGGCCTTCAAGCCTCTCCCGTTGTTTCCAATGGGCAATCCTGTCATTTCTTTTAATACATCCCCCTCCGAGTTGTGTGCAGATTGGCTTTGAGGAAGGGGGAAAAGATCCCTCCCTAAGGTCCAGTGTGCAAAGGATTGAGGAGTGTGTCAATTGCCCACCCCACCCCCCAAGCTAGAAGCATCAAACTTGCAGAGGACCTCCCCAGGCTACTGCTCTACCTGCTCTCCAAGTTGTGTGCTAGATAAAAATTACATAGAAGTGGAAATAGGGATGGGGGAATGGGTAGAGATGTCTAAAGCCACATCAAGTAGTCGACTTATTATCCCCTCCAAATCGGAAGCTAAAGAGCAAAAAGGTCCAGGGAGAAACCACTTTCAGATACCCCAGGGCAACACCACAATGACTGAAAAGTCACCTCTGAAGAGCCGTAAAACAAAGCAGAATCTGGAAAGAGCTGTGATGCAGGAGGAAAGTGAGAGCGGGATGCAATGCAGAGGGAGATTCTGCTTCGGACGTGGCTGTGGACAAACTGCAGGGGAACAGATGGGTGCAGAAAAGACCATAGATTCATGATTGACTTCAGGAAGGCTGTAGTCTAACTCCAGTTTGTTGTGATTCTAAAATGTATTTGCTGTAACAAACTGGGTTTTATTTCTTTCCCAGTAACTGGAACTCTAAACCAGAATTAAAATGTGGTTTAGAAGTTTAGCTGGTGGGAAAGAAACATGTTATGTATTCAGATGGACTTTGAATGCATGGACTGTTATGCGAATTGCTTAATAGAGATTTAATGTTAAGCTTCGAGTCTGGGCTAGGATCCTAATGTAACCTATAGGAGCCCTAGCCCAGGCAGTGTCGTCCAATCATGTTACAAAGCGGGATCGCTTGTGATTGGCCTTTATATCTCCAACCTCATAGGTTGTTAATTGTACAGTGGGTGTGGCTATATTAGCCGGGAATGTTTAAATACAGAGAAGCCAGTGTATATACGTTGATGGGTTCTGGCTGGCGATTGTTGTACCGTGTTGGAGAAGTAACGAAGCTGAAGAATAAAAGCCGCATTCTTGCTGAAATCACTCTCCGACTCTTTGTTAAGTTCGCGACTTAACAATTGGCGACGAGGATGGGATCCTAGTGCGGGTAGGCAACCCCGCTAGTACAGACCCCACG